TTTGGATTGCATATCAACATCAAGAAACCAGAGATCTTCACCACTGGGCCAGTAGGCAGCATCATGATTGATGAAGAAAAGACTGAGGTTGTTAACAATTTCATCTTGCTCGGACCCACAACTATCATCCTTTGCTCTAGCCAAGAAGATGACTTGCCTTGGGAAAATCTGAGGTCAAGGACCTTTCTGGAGTGCTCAAGAGCATTGAGGTCAGTCTAGAGACAGGTATAACTGAACCAGGCCATGGTCTTCTCAATCACTTGCTATGTGTCTGAGGGCCTGACAATGAATGAAAACAGGAAAATCAATGCCTTTGAGTTATGGTGCTAGAGAAGGGTGAAACCAGGTTGCTTCTTGGAGGCAAGGAAAGTGAAGGTCACATACAGTCTCACATACTTGGGGCATGTTTTCATGAGGGGCCAGTCCTTGGAGAAGGACATCACGCTTAGAAGGATGGAGGGTCAGGGCAGGAGGGGAAGACCTTGGATGAGATGGACTGACACAGTGACTGTGGTAATGGAGTCAGATGTGTCGAGACAGTGAAGTTGGCTTAGGATGAGGCAGGGTGCAAAGCTGTTGTTTTTAGGATCATTATGAGCCACAGGCAATTAATTATTGATGGCCCATAACAATATGAGGAAGACGGAGCTCTGACGGCTTAGTGATAAGTTATGCTGCCAACCCAAAGGCTTAAGATTTTAATCCCCCAGCTGCTCCATGGGACAAAGATGGGCAGTCTCCTCCCATGTCATATACTGTCTCTGAAAACCCTTTGGAGAGTCAGCTATGAGTCCGTTCCAACTTGATGATAAAGAAGACTGGTGGTATCATGCATAACATGCCAGATAGTTCAAATCCATCAGTACGCCTCAGGAGAAAGAAGGGGGTTTTTTCTGTAAAGATTTACACCTTGGAAACCCAGTAGGTCACTTTGAATCAGAGTCGACTCCACAATAAAGATTTCATCATGATTTTAAGAAGCCCTGGTGGCACAGTAGATTGGCTGTTGGACTGCTAACCAATGACGTTAGCAATGTGACTCCACTAGCAGCTCTTTCCCCAGAAGAAACACAGCAGCCTCTTTGACTAAGTTTTTCAGTCTCGGCAAACTCAGAGATGGGCAGCCCACGCTGGATCTTTACAGGGCAAGGGGTTTGGTTTCTGTTTATTTTAAGGCGTCCTGGTGGCTCTGTGGGCAAAGCATGTGGCTCCTAATAAAAATGTTAATGGTTTCATCTCACCAGCCATCCCATGGGAGAAAGATAATACAGTTTGCTTCTGTACAGATGGCAGCCTTGGAAACCTATAGGGCAGGTCTGCGCTTCCTACAGGGGCACTATGAATGGGATTAGACCCCACAGCAATGGTTTTGGTTTTATAAGTGCACAGTTTTGGGGCTGATTTGTCTGTCTCACTAGCTGAGTAAGGATGGGGGCTGGCTTCTTGTGTCTCCCAATAGTTTCCCATCATAGGTTTCTTTGAGGATTGACTGCCTGCCTCTAGACAAGGTTGCTCCCTGGGGGTGAGTCTGCCTTCTGCTTGTACAGTTTGTCACAGATCACCTACATTCACCAAGCACTTTCTATTGACTTTTTCCAGCAATTCCAAGAGGACCTATCTGCAAATGAGCAACCGGTATGCAGAGGCTAAGTAACTTGCCCTAGGGTAAACTTGTTAGTCCATCCAACAGCCTGGTCGCTGAATGTGCTGAGTCTGGGCTTGTGCTCGCAGGCCATTCTGTAGACTCTGGGCCTGCTTTGCTCTGCCAGCCTTGATAGACACCCTTTCCTACCCTCTTGCGAGGAAGGGTGGACCAGGGTTTGTGGTGGCTTGGCTTTACGTGGGGCCAAGGCATGACTCTTAGTGTATGGGTCACACACCTTCCTAAATTATCTCTGTTAAAAATTTTTTGTGCCCAGACGGAGGGGTGAAGTGGGGTCTGGCCATCCCTAAGTGGTGCAAAGGTTAACACACTTGGTACTTGGTTTGAACCTACCTAGAGATGTGCTGAGGAAAGGTGGCGCAACCAGCCACTGACAGTGGTCCCAGCTCCAGTCTCACACAAGGGGGTTTGCCTTGAGCTCAAGTGGCCTCCACACCACCTCTAGATTTCCCCTCAGATAAAGCAGGAGGGCAACCCTTCTCTGTAACACTAGATTTCCTAATTTTCACAGCCACTGTCCTTTCTCTGAAATTCCACAGCCAAAGAGGTTAACTCTGCCTAATTCAGGGAGTTAAACCACCTCCCTCCCACCCCAATGGACAGGCTACCTAGGGATTGCCAGTGTTTTTGATCAGCTTCAATTCAGAATTCTGAAACTTTGCTGGTGATGCTATTTGGAATCGGGGGCTGCCCATTTTTCACCACTGTATATTTGTGGGAGGGTGCAAATTATTTCACCTTGACTCTCAGCAGTTACAAGGCTCGAATTTTCTCTAAGTAACTGACCTTTTGGTTAGCAGCCCAATGTTAATCCCATGCTCCATCAGGACTTAACTGCAAGAGGCAACGTTGAGCCATTACTGGTCTCTTCTGTATGAAGGAAGGAATGGAAGAGCTATCAGATCTTAGGGCTTGTGTGGTATGGATGTGGCCTGGCTCTTCAATGGCCTTGCAGACCTGAGGTCCTTACTGTACACATCTATCCTGACCTCCCTCTCTTGATCCCTTGGCCGTTCCCCTGGCACCAACCAAGCCTGACTTCACACTGTCCTAACTACTGCACCATCTCGTTTCTCAACAGTGTCTCGTGATCGCGATGTCTCATCTCTGCCTCCTGGCACTCAGCCAGTGTGGTTTGAGAGGCAGAAACGATCCTGATAATTAGTGTTTGATCAGCCTTGGGTTTAAAGACCTATTCCCCTGGGGCTCTTGTCCTCTTTCCCTCATGTCTCCATCTGTCAATTACAGGTACTCACGTGTGGTCCTTTTCTAAGTAATGTTTATTCCTTCATTTAAAACAGTATTAAATCTACTGACTTGAGGATAAGTTATAAGACCAAATACCACATTTTATAATTGTCCTGTTATCTCCAAACTTGAACCCCTTTCATAAGTTTGATACTCTTAAGGGTGACAGTGAAGGTCCTTACTAATCTGTTCCCAGGCTTTGCTGATGATGTCTACAACATAACTCCCTCCACGAGAGTTCACTTCCTGGGTCTCAGCAGGGTCACACGCTCATGAGAAGGGCCTGCGCTGCTGCTTGAACAGCCTTCTGCTCTCCTGTCAGTCCCTACTACAGTCTCAAAGACAGCACTCTACTTGTTTTACTAGGAAGTGCTGAGGTTGAACTGTTTTGCAGAGTCCCAATTCTTTGTCTTGCTTGTTCCAAGAGAAAACTGTTGCTGTTGAACTAGTTAGAACCTAGCACAGAGGACCAGATATTTCAGTGAGCTCAGCAAAACCACAAAATCTGCATAGAATTCTATTTTGGCTCTTCCTGTGTCTTGCCAATCAATCACAAATTCCAGTATCCCTAATCTTTCTTCTCTAGATGCAGGAGTTGGTTTATCAACTTAGAACACCTAACTCAGGATTAAGAAACACTAGTGGTAAAGTACCTAACAAGCTGGGCTGCTTATGAAAAGGTGAGTAGTTTGAGTCCACTCATTTGTTATGCATCAGAGAGTTGGACAGTGACTAGGGAGGACAGAAGAAGAATTGATGCCTTTGAGCTGTGGTGCTGGAGAAGAGTATTGAATATACTATGGACTGCCAAGAAAATAGATTCATCATGGAGAGGGTTAAACCAGGCTGTTCCATGGAGGCAAGGATTCTGGGGCTTCGTCTGACATACTTTGGACATGTTGTAAGGAGGGACCAGTCCATGGAGAGGGACGGCACAAGAAGGGAAGACCCTCTATGAAGTGGATTGATTCAGTGACTGGGGTAATTGGGGTGGATGCGTCAAGAGATGGTGCGATTGGCACAAGACAGAGTAGAGTTTAGGGCTATTTATTGTATACATAGGGTCACTATGAGTTGCAAGCGACTTAACGCCACATAACAACAACAATTAATATACAGTATTAGACATTCCTAGGAATAAAGATGAACAGACACTTCCTGTAAAGATTTACAGCTTTGGAACCCCAGAGGAGCGCTCCTGTGACTTGATAGCATTGTGTTGTTTCTTTTGGATTATCTCCGGATTATTCTGAGTATAAAATATATAAGTAGGGGAACATTTGCTCTACAGTTCTAAGTTACACTTTACAGGAAGAATTTGCATGCCAACGTTTCTATATAAAATTTGAGAACTCATTGTGCTGAGTCATAGCCGACCCTCCACAGGAGATACTGTAATGCACGTGGAAGAAGGTGGTACAAACCCCCAGAGAGGTGTGTCCTTTGGGCTTGCAGCACAGCTCCTCAGCATTTCCATGGAGTCCATCAGTAAATCCAAGTCACATGCACCTCATCAGCAGTAAGAGGAAAAGTGTCCACAAATAGCTTTTAACAAAATTACAGCTGGATACACGCTTTAATGGAGATTATTGTTATCACTGCTGTGCAAATGTATAACACCTTATAATTAAGCTTAAATGTACTGTTTTTGTTTTGGTTTTTTTTTTGCTATACAGCCTTCCATTTTAGCACCACATGACAAAGTAAAGCTTCTATCAGCCCAGAAAACTATTAAATCAAACTGAATCAACTGGAAAGGTCTCTAAAGGTATTCTGACCCTTCTTCTGATGCAGGTCTCTCTTTGGGGGCCTAGCTTCTCCCCTGGCTTTGCCAACCTTTAAGTTGGCAGTAGCAGTCTAGATATTTGGAGGAAGTACACTTGCCCACAAACTGTCACATACATCTGAGTGGCCCAAAATGCTGACGACCTTCACACCACCCACTGCTCAAGCCATAGTCCACCTACATGTCTTCCTTCCAGTCTACATTTCAGCTGAACACTCATCTGAAATTTGGAGGCTAAGAATGAATAGGAAGGAACCAGAAAAACATTAGGAGTAAATAACAATCACATATGCAAAAATATACTTAAGTGTTAAAAATGTTTATTTGTCAAAAATGTTAAAAAAAGAGAAAAAAGTAGGAGTGGAGTTAAAACAAGGCTAAATTTCAGCAAATGCTGCACCACGATCACAGGTCAGACATGGAAAAAAAAAACAAAACCATCAAAAACCCACCCAAAGCCCCAATGATCCTAGTAAGTCAGGAGATTAGCTTCAGTGTGAGAGTCCAGAGCTAACAGAAGAGTAAGAGGCTGCTTGCCACTACAGGGTCACTCTACAGGACAGACAGGGAAGAGGGAGTCAGGCCTGAGGAAAGCAAGGAAAGAGGGGCTCCACCACACAGGAAAGGAGGGGCCGGCATAATCCTTACCTAGGGCTGCTCAGAGGCCGAGAATATAAGGAACAGTGTGAAAGACTACAAAGACTAGTATAAAGAAGAAAGAAGAATCAACTAAGGAAAATTAAGAAAGAAAACATAGTTGGTCACAAACTCCTTTGTTTACTGAAACATGAAGCAATGGAAACATCCCGGCAAAGGGGACCGCGAGGAGCAAGCTCTCATATATGACCGCAGCCCGAGGGTTCAGTCCGCAATTATCCTACCTGAAAGAGAGCACAACACAAGAGGCTTACACAATGCCGGGGAGCAGCCGGCTCCGATACAGGGCCCTGGTCCGTCCTGTGTTCCGGGGGAAGAGGAGAAACAAAAGAACAAAGCCACATCAGCAGAGTGAAAACTCCCATTTCTCCCAATTACCTAAGAGTCTAATTCCTGTAACTGTACAGGAATCTACTTATAAATATAACAAGACTCAGTCTATATGGAAGACCGCTGTGCTGTCAGTAAGTACATCTTTCTGATCTTCTCATCCTGTGACAGAATGCTTCTGTCACTGTGACAAAGAACATACAAATAGTCCATTATCAAGAATCACTGATTTTTTTTGTGTGTGTTCAAGAGAAATCAGAAGATGCCCAGATCTCAAAAGTGGTCAATTATACTATTTAAGTAGAGTTGTTTCATCTTAACTTTTTCACAGTCAAAAGTTTTCAAAAAGGACAGTCACAAAGATTTGAGGGTTAAGGGGTAATCATTCATCCACTGCCAGAGATTCAGAGGCCTAATTTCTTGGTTTCCCTGATTGGCCCCATTTCCCCTTCTAAATCAAAAGTAATCACTGCTAAAATGGTCTAATCTGCCACTGATGATGGAAACTCCAGACATCAGTGGTTGAGGGGGGGGGGGAACTTAACTCACACCAAGTTCCTCTACTTATTACAGACAAAGGGCCAAATCTTGATTTTGATCTGTGTCAATCGACTTCAAAAGCTGTGATGCTCATGGGTCGGTTCTGCTAGGGTGAGACCTAAACTGAGGTCCCCAGTAGCTGTGGAGGATTTCATCTTGGCAGCCTCATTAACATCAGGCTCCTGAGACTGCAACCAACCAGGGTTATTCAGTCCATCTGAGATTCATACCTGGAAGGTAAATTGCTTTCAAATCATTACTAAAAAAAGGGTAGTTTAACCACCAACATCTGCAGTCCCAAATTCACTTTTTAACACCCTGACCATACTACAATATGCAAACCTAGTATTTAACTTTGCAAAGACATCTGAGAACAACAGAGGCCATCTGACAGATGATCCCATCTTACTCTAGAGGCATATCTTACTTTGTTGTAGATCAGCTGCATTCAAGGTAAAGATGAATGACAAACCAAGTAAGATTATGCAGTACATATGCGCGCACACTGCAGCCATGGCCTCAGGTACCTCATGAAAGCCTAGCCACCGTGGTCAGACTGGGTCATAGTTATCACAGGCTTTTATCACATCTGCTTCCCACTATACACAAAAGCCAGATTCCTATGCTGGTGTTTTCTTGTGCTCCTAAACCAAAGGAATGAGCTGGGTAAATCCAGCAGTAATTTAGCCTAACGCTGTGCCAGCATCCAATTCAAAAGAGGATCGAACTCCAGTTATAAGAAAAACCATGAATATAACAGTGTGTGAGCCATTTCTACTCATATGAAAGCAATCTATCAGTTTCTAATATTCTTTGGTAAACATTTCCAAAAGCAGGAAAAGCGATAATTTCTGGGTCACAAGGATTTACTACATACCAAAAAATTATTTTCCTCTAATTCTTTAAGTATGCCAGTGTAAGAGGTTGCAACGAAAGGCACGTGCAGCACAAGGTAGTCTGATTACCAACTAAGAAAGGCGGACTCCCAGGCTGTGACTGTGTCACTACCTCGCGGGAGCAGACCTGGTAATAACTGTCGTGGTAGAGGGTTCCAGATGGGAGGGAGGTGTCAAAACAGTCAGCTTTCAGGTGTCTTGAAACAGCCTACACTTTCTAGGCTTTTCTGTGGCTTGCAGATAAACAGTGGCAGAATGGGTCCCTCTAATAAAGGCTAATAATACATGAAATAATTTTAGGCCCTGGAAGTCCTGAAGTTGAAACTTTCCTTTCATTGCCAATTCCTGGACCTGTACTTTTCACATCACATTGATCTAGACCTCAATTTGAAGCTTGATTTTGCCTCTCAATTATCAAATTAATTTGGGCAAATACTGAACCTCTACAAGCTTTACTGTACTTCTCTCACCTGCATGAGAAAGAAAACATTTCAAAGACTTAATGTGTAGACTAAATAAGACAAAGCAGAGGGCACTTGACAAATGCCAATTCTCTTAACTAATGGTCTGTATGCCAGGGATGCTCTTACCTGATTAAAGACTAATATTCTCACAATCAACATGAGTTTGTTGTATTTTCCTTCTGAAGGATCAAGTCAGTTGGGAGTTTCAGACACAAATTTCAATAGGCCACATGAACCTCCTGCCTAAACTAAGGAAATATTTAAAACTGGAACTGTACCTTAGGACACAAACACAAGTGTGTCTCCACAGCAACCAGGTGGCTCTTGCCAAAGCTTATCAAGCAAGGGTTTCTCTCTTAATGACACAGAACCTTAACCCACACCCCCACACCCGACTCTCACCTCCAGTCTTTAAAAAGCTGAGTACCGTGCTCGGTCGACACACTGCTCCCGATCATAACGAACCATGTCATACAGAGAATTCCGCGCCACTGCTGATGCTTGGGACAGCTCGCTCTCGGGCCCGTAACCATAGCCCTCGCCAACTGTGGGGAGCACTGCAGTGCGGCGTAGGGGGCTCCTGTCCCTTCCATAATAGGAGGAAGTGGGGGCGACAGCCATAGCAGCTGAGGTGGCAGCAGTGGCCGAGTTCGGCAATAGGTGTCTGTCGTAGGGATCGACAGAAGTGGAGTTGAGGTGATTGGTCACAGCTGTGTTCTGGACTTGAGGCAGATGGGACATGGTCTGCTCTGCATAGTTGTATGCAGAGGCCGCGGCTGCTGCTGCCACTGCCTCGTAGGAACGGACGCGGTACCGCTTGTAGTAGTCGAGTGCTCCGTATGCATCATTGTAGTACACAGATTCCCCGTAGCCCATGGTGTAAGGCGTGCGCACTGCTCCATACTGTTCATTGTACTGCTCAGTCAAGTCCGCCACGCGGCCTGTGCGGTCTACGGGACACTCTTTGGACCAGTGCCCCTCTTTCCCGCACCGATAGCAGCCGCTCTGGTCTCCCATCCCGGGTGCAGTCCTAAGCCGACTGGTGGACAACTGCACGTGCATTCGTTTGCCTTGAGGAGACAGATGTAAGGAGATTGATTATAACTCATTAACTTTGCCTACATGTCCCCCAATCGAAGGGAACATGCAATGACATACACACACTCGTATCAATTTGTCTTAGCAATCCTCTCCAAAAGACAGGGAAATGAAGTTCTAATAGATTTGGTAGCTAGAAAACATGGTCGCTGCTTTCTACTAGGCCAGCAGTAGTCATACTTCTCCCATCAACAAAACTTCCCTCCCCTCAACCCCATAGAACCAGAGGATTTCCACTTCTCTCTGCTCATACTGTTGAGTTACGAAGAGTGATCCAAAACCTGCCAGTGGTTCCAAATCAACACCTCAGCTCCACAGGTCTGGAAAGCATCTTACCAACCAACAGTCTCCACTGGTAGTTATGGGTACAGAAGGCTGAATATTTAATGACTGTGCTTTCTAAACCACCACAGCCTTCTGCCAGAGGGTGTTTTGGGATGGCATCATCAGATGAGACCCTCCAGAGTTCAACCCCACCACCACTTTGTCAGCAAGGGCGAATCTATACCTACTGTGAGAAAGATCCTGCAACAATGTCAGCTTCTTGGGGCCATAAACTGACCCCTTTGGTCCCTGGTAACAGAACGCATCTCACCCTGCCCCAATGTCTGAAATTCTTTCTAGGAGATTGGAAAATGCAATTAATCTGTCATACAAGTCCCATTTGTACTTCCAGGAATGACCAGCACCCAGGACAGTGAAGAGAATGCAGCTTCACTTGGCCCACAGCACCAAACCTAGGGCTTCTCACTAATGAGAAAACACTCAATTACTCTAAAAGTGGTTTGAGAAAAGGATTATTGTTGGCTGCAACTTCATTCCAAACCCCACAGACTTTGGAGAGGCAGCCAATGCTTTTCAAACTGTAGCAAAAAGCATCCAGTACAGAATGTGGAGACCCTCTTGGACGGACTGTTCAAAACAGACCCTGCCCCACAATCCGCAAGTTGCTTTCCTAACAGACCTTGTTCTGAATGCAGCCTTACGCTTCACCATCCTGCTGGAAAGGGTTCAATCCAGGATGGCAGCCAGAACAGAGCCACGCATGGACCCTGGGAGAGGAGTGAGTCAGTGCAGTCACATTATCTACCACCCCAGTTTCTAGTGTTTGCTTTTTTAAAAGCAGAAACAAAAAGTTTCTGGCTTTTTATGAGTTTGTTAGTAGCAACTGTATCATCTGTCAATACCAAACAACAGCATTTATTCACTACATTGTTTGCCAGGATCAAACTATTCCCGTTCTAATGCTTAGCTATCTTGAAGAGCCGTTAACTGTTCAGGGTAATTTTGGTTCAGCTCATCCTGCAAGTGTTGTTGCTAAGTGCCATCAAGTTGGCTCCTACTCATGCAGTGGAAGTTGTTAGGTGTCGTTGAGTATGACTCATAGCGACCCTATGAGCAGATCTGAACCCTGAGATCCTATATCACCTTGATCATCTCTGATATACTTGAGCCCACTGCTGCAGTCGGTGTCAGTTCATCTCATCGAGGTTCTCCCTCTTTCACTGACCTCTTTCCAAGGAGCAGCTTCTCCCTCTTTCACTGACCTCTTTCCAAGGAGCAGCTTCTCCTAGCAACATGTGCAAACTATGTGAGAGGAAGCTTTGTCATCTTTGTCTCCAAGGAGGACTCTGGCTGTACTTTCTCCAAAATGAACAGATATTTGTTCTTTTGGTTGTTAGGTGCTGTCAAGTATGGCTCATAGAGACCCTCTGAACAAAAGATCTGAACCCTGTTCTACCCTGCACCATCCTCACACTTCCTGACACACAAGAGCCCATTGCGGCAGTCACCGTATCAGTCCACCTGGTTGAGGGTCTTCATCTCCTTTGGTGACCCTCCATCCTTTCCAGCATTCATGTCCCTCTCCAAGAAATAGCCCCTCCTAGCAATATGCCTAAAGTATGTGTGGTGAAGTCTCATCATTCTTGCCTCCAAAGAATACTCCAGCTGCACCCTCTCCGAGACATATCTGTTTGTTCCTTTAGCCAACCATGGATGTTCAGTGCTCTTCTCCAACACCACAGTTCAAAAGTGTCAATTCTTTTCCTGTCATCCTTATTCGTTGTCCAGCTCTCAGGTACACAGCAAGTAAATGGAAAGACTATGGTCTGAATCAGATGCACCTTCGTCCTCAAACTGATATTATTACTCCTCAATAATTTGGAAAGGTCCCTAACTGCAGACTGTCCCAGTGCAATGAATCTCCTTATTTCCTGACTGCTGGTACCAAGGGTGTTAATTGTGGATTCAAGCAAGTTGAAGCTGTTGACAGTTTCAATCTCCTCTCCACCCATCCTGATGCTGCCTCTTGGTCCAGAGGCAAAAATCTTTGTTTTCTTGACACTGAGATGCAATCCATACCAAAGGCTGCATTCCTTGATCTTCTGCAACAAGTGCTTCAAGTCCTCCTCACTTTCAGCAGGCAAGACTGTGTCATCTGCGTAATGCATGTTAGGGACAAGTTTCCTTCCAATCCTGATGCCACACTCCTCTTCACAGAGTCCAGCTTCTTGGATGATTTTCTCAGTATACAGACTGAATAGATATGGAGAAAGAATATGACCCTGACACACTTCCTTCTCAGTTTTATACCATGCAGTGTTCCCCTGCTCTGTTCACACAACAGTCTTCTGGTCCAGGTATAGGTTCCACATGAGCACAATTAACTGTGTTGGGACTCCCATTCTTCTAAGTGTCAGCCACAACTTGTTATGATCCACCCAGTCAAATCCCTTTGCATAGTCAATAAAACACAAACATAATGTCTTCTGATCTCCTGACCACTGATACCAACAGTGTTGACTGTTGATCCAAGTAAGATGAGGAAGTTGGCAATTTCAATTGTTTCTCCATTTATCATGATGTTGTCTATCAATCCAATGCTGAGAATTTGTTTTCTTGATGTTGAGATGTAATCTATACTGAAGGCTGTAGTCTTTGATCTTCTGCAGCAAGTGCTTCAAGTCCTCATAATTTTCTGTAAGCAAGGCTGTGTCACTTGCATACTGCAGGTTGACATGTCTTCTTCTGAACTTGATGCCATTCTTCTTTATAGAGTCTAGCTTCTCGAATGATTGCTCAGCATACAAAACTAGCACACACCTTTAATTTTAAACCTTGTAGTTATTTTCTTGCTGTTTTCACAACAGCCTCTTAAGTCTACATAAATACACCAGAACAAAATCCTGTATTATCCTCGAAATCTCTTGTTGTTGTTATGTGCCGTCGAGTCGTTTGCTACTCATAGCGACCCAATGTACAACAGCCCTAAACCCTGCTCTGTCCTGTGCCAAAATCGCATTGCCTCTGACACACCCATCCCGATCACCCCAGTCACTGAATCAATCCACCTCATAGAGGGTCTTCCCCTCCTGCGCTGTCCCTCCACTCTACCCAGCATGATGTCCCTCTCTAAAGACATGTCTCTCCATACAACATGTCCAAAGTATGTCAGACGAAGCCCCAGAATCCTTGCCTCCAAGGAGTAGCCTGGTTTAACCCTCTCCAGGATGAATCTGTTTGTTTTCTTGGCAGTCCATGGGACCCTCAATACTCTTCTCCAGCACCACAGCTCAAAGGCGTCAATTCTCCTTCTATCCTCCCTAGTCACTGTCCAACTCTCTGATGCATAACAAGTGATTGCAAAAACCATGGCCTGTATCAGGCGGACCTTAGTCTCCAGAGAGACACCATTGCTCTTCAGTACCTTAGAGAGGTCCCTAACAGCAGACTTTCCCATCGCAATACTTTTTTTATTTCGTGGCTGCTGATGCCAAGAGTGTTGACCGTGGAGCCAAGCAAACTGAAGCTGTGAACAATCTCAATCTCTTCGCCATCCATCCTGATGCTACCGACTGGCTCTACTGTGCTTAAACTCAGCTGTAGTCAATGTGTCAATCTAACTGTCGAGGATCTTCCTCTTTTTTAATTCACTCCTTTTCTAAGCATGTCTTTCTCCAGAAACTGGCCTTTCCTGACAACATGCCCAAAGTTTGTGAGACAAAGTCTCATTGTGTTTGACTCTAAGGAGCACTTCTTCCAAGAAGTTCTTTTAGTAGTCCACTGCCTATCTGTTTCACTCACACAATTTAAAGGCATCAATTATTTTGCAGTCTTTCTTATTATCCGACTTTCACATGCATATGAAGTGGTGGAAGATAAGATGGCTTGGGACACAGGAACCTGCCATTAAATGGACAGCTTAGCTCTTTACAGAAACTTCTGACAGCAGATTTGCCCAATGCAATACATCATTTCATTTCTTGGCTGCTGCCTTCAATGGTGTTGACTGTGGATCTAAATCATAGGAAATTCTTGACAACTTCAATCTTTTCTCCAAAAATCTTGAGGTTGTCTACCACTCCAGATGTTAGGATTTTTTTTCTTGATGTTGAGATGTAATCCATGCTAAAGGCTATTTTTGCTCTTCTTCATCAAATGCTTCAAACCTCTTCACTTTTAGCAAGTCTGCGTACTATAAGTTGTTGATGAGTCTTTCTCCAATTCTGATGCCACGTTTTTCATAACATCTCAGATTTGCTCAGTATACATATTAAATATGGTGAAAGGATACAATACAACTTTCCTAATACTAAAAGCACCCAGTAAACCCACGTTGTCTGAATGATTGTCTCATGGTCTGTGGACAGATGCTGTCTACCATGAGCATAATGAAGTGGTCTACATTTTCCTTTCTTCTCAATATTATCTGTTATATGATCAACACAGTAAAATACCTTTAGAGTCAATAAACATTTTTCTGGTATTTTCTGCTTTCAGCCTAAATCCATATGACATCAGCAACAATGGCCTTCTGAATCCAGCTTGAATTTCTGGCATTTCTCTGTCAATGTACAGTTCTAGTCACTTTAACTTTCAGCAAGATTTTACTTGCCTGTGATAGTAATGATGCTGTTTGATATTGTCTGCATTTTGTTGGATCACTTTTGTTTTTTTACTGGGACAAATA